CTGTAAACATGCCTACTCGGCTCCTGCAGCGGTGCCGCAGCACTCCCTAAAACAACCTCCTGGTTTACAGACTAGCAAAACTCTCTTCTGATGATGTGTCTCGAAGGTGGGAGTGCATTTTAAAAGACTACAGTCACTTTGGGGAGGCTACTCTAATTAGCACCACAGCTGTATTTATTAGCCCCTTGATCAGTGGATATCGGTCACATACAAACATCTCCCCCCGAATATCACTGGATACTTTCAAACATGAGATCTCAAAAGAGTCAAAATAGGAATATTTTGACTCGGCTGTGCGCTGACATGCTTTTTCTCTTAGAGAAAACTGGCTTAGAGTTCCTTTTTTGGGCATAATGCCGACTACAGAATGAAGGCTTGACCTCAGAAGTCTATTACAAACAGCATATAGCTGCTATAACCAAACTACCATTTCTGAAATTATAATAAGTGCCTGATGGATCTGAGTGGGACAAAAATTCCAAATGTTTGAACTGATCTAAACTGATTTTGAACTGAATGGAACTGAACTGAACTAAACTAAGCTGAACTGAAAATAATTGATTAAAACTGATTTGCACTGAACTGGATTGATTTGCACTGAACTGAACTGAATGGAACCGAACTAAACTGAACAGAACTGAACTGAACAGAACTGAACTGAACTGAATGGAACTGATCTAAACTGATTTGAACTGAACTGAACCGAACTGAACTGAATGGAACTGATCTAAACTGAACTAAACTGATTTGAACTGAAATGCACTGAACTGAACTGAATTGAATGGCACTGAATTTAATTGAACTGAACTAAACTGAATGGAACTGATCTAAACTGAACTGAACCGAATCCAACTGAACTGAACTTCAGAACTTCAGAAGTCAATTACAAGCAGCATATTGTCGCTTTAACCAAACATACCATTTCTCAAACGATAACAAGCGAGTGATGGATCTGAGCAGGCCAAAAATCCCAAATGTTTGGAGCATTAAAACATCAAAAAAATCCTAACACTAATCTTGTGTTCTACACTTGGAATTTTCTGCAAGTTAACAAAAAACGTTACTTTCACAGGAAAAATGTTCTTAACTTTCATGGATGCTAATTTTTTTTTGTTCCTAGTAATTCTGGACCGTTTTTAAGGGCCCATTTACTATCACATGTTCACACACTGTACAGGGCAGTAAAACGGGGTTAAAAACAAAGCTGCTAGCCGCTAACCATTTTCCCTGAGCGCAGCTTACATTTGCTAGCGTCTGACACAAGCTCCCTGTGGAGGTCAAGGGTTAAATGTCATGCTTAAGGGCACAATGGCAGAAGCTATCAGCTGGGATTGAACCCGTGCTCTCTTGGATCGTTCCCAAAGAGTCCTCAGGCTGCTGAACTCGCACCTTCAAATGCAGTCCAAACTGCTCTCTGGGTGCTTATAACTGTGTTTACCTTCTTTTTTTCATAAAATATTAATAAAACCCCATTTTGTGATTGTTTTCTTGCTCACTCTTCAAAATAAACAGTTCATACAGCCCAAGCATGAATAAGCATAAGCATGATGCTAACGGCTAAGGCTAAATCCAAAGAGAGCCTTCTAATCAGCCAGCAAATTCTCTCTCTCTCTCTCTCTCTCTCTCTCTCTCTCTCTCTCCCTCCCTCCCTCTGTCTCTCTCTCTCTCTCTCTCTCTTTCTCTCTCTCCTTCCTTCTGTCTCTCTCTCTCTCTCTCTCTGACCCACTTCCCCAGCGGCCAGAAGTGAAAGGGCAATTTCTACTGGCTCTCAGAGGTCAGCTGATGCAAGCTCAGACCTTTGACCCCCATTAATTGGATGTGGCCGTAACAGAGTAGGAGCAGCTCTTTCTCAATGACCTGTAACTGTTTCCTCTCTGAAAATACTGGGTGATAATCTGAAGCTGGCTTCTCTGAAAAGGTTAAACTAAAACTACTACAAAACAAAACTAAAATAAACCATTACAATAAACTGTAACTCGACTTTTGTCTAAAATATTAAAGCTGGACAGAAGCATGTGCAGCGTTTTCCCTTACAGATAGATGGCACTGTTGAGCTAATATGAGGAGAAACAGGCATGAACTGTGACTCAGAAACAACTAATTTAGAAACAACTAAATTAAACTAAATGTGTAAATATTGTAATCTGTTACAGTATTATGTTCAAAATGATGGCATCCCGTTCGTCAAATTAATTAGTTTTTTTATATTAACTTTCTCTTATTATGTTAATTCATTCATTAATTTTTGTAACTTACACATTGCAGATTGAAATATTAATATAAAACATTATTGTGAATAAAACAGCATTACATACATGTAATGTATATAATGTATCAGGATAAAATCAGACATATGAACATCTGAATGTGTCACGGTTCTAGTGCAAGTAACCAAAGAGATATTAAAGATTAAAGATTAGTCTGCATTAATTTAACCATAATTATCTCCTTTTGTGCAGGAAAACCCTGATTCATCAAAACACCCACTGAAACTGGATGAAACTTGAAATAAATTGAATTAAACTGAATAGAATGGAACTAAACTGGGTTCAATTGTACTGAATGGAATGGAACTGAACTCAACCGAACTCAACTGAAGTGAACTGAATTGAACTGAAATGAATTGAACTAAAACTGAACTAAACTGAACTGATTTGAACTGAATGGAACTGAACTAATCTGAATGGAACTGAACTAACCTGATTTGAGTTAAATTGAACTGAACTAAACTGATTTGAACTGAACTGAACTGAAAGGACCTGAACAAAACTTATTTGAACTGAATGGAACTGAACTAAACTGAATGGAACTAAATTAAACTGAACAGAAATGAAACAGAACTGAACTGCACTGAATTGAACTGAACAGAACTAAACTGATTTGGACTAAATAGAACTGTACTAAAGTGAATGGAACTGAACGAACCGAACTGAAGTGAAAGTAACTGATCTAAACTGATTTAAACTGAACCGAACTGAACAAAACCAAACTTAATGGAACTGAACTGGACTGAATTCAACTAAATGGAACTGAACTGAACTTCTTTTTTCAGACATAGCAAATGCTATGAAAATTAAGCAGCAAAACTGACCTGAAATCAGAGGTCAGACACATTCTGGGGTAAGTCTGCTTTTGTAAATACACTACACTTAAAAAAGTTATGCATCAAATTTACTCAATTCAAATTCATATGAAATATATTATATCAAAACACTTCAGTCTATCAGCTTCCTTTCACCGGTAATTTTGCTCATGTGTTATATTTAATTAATGCGGATGTGATGAACACATTTGAATGGAGTGAATTCAACACAGCACCGTTTTGCAGCGAATAAATAAATAAGGACGAGGTGCTCACGGCTGTAATGAGGAGGAACAGCTGGCCCCTCTAACCCACTGCTCCTGCACTCTCTCACTCTCTGCAGCCTCGAAACTTTTGCCAACAAGCTGAGATTTGGGTGTCTTGGGACTGCAGTGCTGACCAAGGTCCATCCAGCATCTCTTCCATCATCCAGTTCCGTCTGCTGATGAAGCATCCTGCAGATTCCACTCTTGATCGGTGCGGTGACTGAAAGACACAGCAAATCCCACCGGGTCAGATAAATCCCATCAACAGCACGTCCAACCAGACATCCGTTCACTCTCGTTATGCAAACGCGCATAATATATGCAAATATCCAGCTGAGCTATTGATTTTTTTCTTATCTATTACAGAGTAATGAGACACTCCACTGATAACACAGCGGAGAGCCCTCGGAAACTGAAATGTAATTCTTCCAGGTGGCTCAGATCCAATCCGAGCCGTGCCATGTGCCGCTTGAGGCTGAAAGGCCATGGGGAATGCGTTTGGCTGCATTCCGAGGGGGAAGTTTTAGATGGTGGGGGTTAGTCCCTTCCTTTTGGAGCACGTTCTGATTAAATAGGGAGCTCTCACAGGATGCCGTGTGCTCAGTGCATTGAGACTTGGCTGTTAAAGAGATTCACATGCCTTGGAGAGAATCAGGAAAAAAAAATCTGCCTTTAAAAATTCAGGTTTCTGTTTCATGTTTATTACAGTCTGTCAGAGTGACTGTGTGGATCATATAAACATTATAGAGCTTTTTAAATGAAACAGTAGAAGCCATATCGCCCCCTACACTTCCTGTAGTGTATTACAGTCTGTCAGAATGACTGTGTGGATGATATAAACATTATAGAGCTTTTTAAATGAAACAGTAGAAGCCATATCGCCCCCTACACTTCCTGTAGTGTATTACAGTCTGTCAGAGTGACTGTGTGGATCATATGAACATTATAGAGCTTTTTAAATGAAACAGTAGAAGCCATATCGCCCCCTACACTTCATGTAGTGTATTACAGTCTGTCAGAGTGACTGTGTGGATCATATGAACATTATAGAGGCTTTTTAAATGAAACAGTAGAAGCCATATCGCCCCCTACACTTCCTGTAGTGTATTACAGTCTGTCAGAATGACTGTGTGGATCTTGGAACATTATAGAGGCTTTTTAAATGAATCAATAGAAGCCATATCGCCCCCTACACTTCCTGTAGTGTATTACAGTCTGTCAGAGTGACTGTGTGGATCATATGAACATTATAGAGGCTTTTTAAATGAAACAGTTGAAGCCATATCGCCACCTACACTTACTGTAGTGTATTACAGTCTGTCAGAATGATTGCATATCTTTTGAATATTATAGGCTTTAGTTTTTTTAACAAATGAAGCACTTTAAGTGTTTCTTTTCCACAATTGCCTAATAGTTGCAGCTCTAATTAAGCTAAAACTGCATTTATTTTGATTTTATTCATTGATAAGGAAGCCAGTTTAATGCGGAACTACTTATCAGTTGCCTTTATATTGAAATTACCAGCAAGAAATGCTTTTCTTCATAGCTCCAGCGGCAGGTAATGTAAACTCACCGGAGTCTTCGGGTGTCCTCCATCCTCAGATTAATGTGTGAAAAGGCAGAAACAGTTGTAGTAGATTTTTTTCCAGTCCCCTCAGTCACCCCAAACCCTGAAGAACATCAGCATAACAAAATATATCAGTACAGTGAAAATGAACCTTGTTTGTTTTATCCATGTATTGAAATAACATCATATCAACTAATAAGCAACTTAAAATGTACTTATATACTTTATTCAAATAAATAAATACTTCAAGTAGTTTTTGCATTTCTTCTACCGCTGTGCCCTCATTTCTGCTTGATCTATTGTTCTATGCTTCATGTCTCTGATTGAAATTTGATATACAAATAAAGTTCTTCTTTTTATTATTATTATGAAGACTGCCTTCACATAAAAACCCTGTTTACTCACCCTCCAGTTAGCAGCTCACCAAAACGACGTAAACTTCTTCCCGAGAGCGGATACAGCTGTAGAGAGAAACAGAAAAAAAAACAGATTGGAGACAAAGACAATAAAAATACAGTCATAAGCAAAGTTTGAACCCCCCTGGGTAAATGCGAAACACATTCTCTACAGAGAACACAGTTCTGCACATCTGAATGCACAATTACAGCTTATTTGCTGAATTCAACATATTGGACAAAATACAGCATAAAATGTGCCATAACTTTTGCACAGACCACATTTTATGTTTTATTTCCCCCCAGTGTTAAATTCTTTTTAAAAGAAGCTTTTTAAAGAGCTGAGTTTAAGGCACTATTGAGTTTATGTACATTTAAAACTCTAAAAATATCAACTGATCACATTTTCAAATCCATGATTCTCACTTAAACATGTTCACCTGCTGCTTCTTTATTGTATCAGTTCACACGGCAGAAAAAAAACAGCAGCAGCAGCTCCACATTTGATTATCTGGGTCTCGCGAGAATGTGTGAGTTCACGTGAGGTCAGTGAGCTCCATTCGGTTCAGCAGCAGCTGAAAAGTTGAGTAGTGTGTGATCCCCAATATTTCAGACACCCAGTCTTTTATAATCTGCTAATGCTTTAAAAGTTGTGTAGAGAACCCAAGGCTTAAGGGATAAAAACAGGTTGGAAATGGTCGTGTAGAAATAAATACAGACCTCATGGAAGAAGATAAAATACAAAAACTGCAGAATATGGGCCCTTTAGTCTTTTCAGGGCGATAAAAAGGAGGCCAGTTATTCAAGATAGCGTGAGATGAGCTAAATAATGAAGATCATAAACCCCACCCACATACATTCACAGTTCTCACTAATTCTCTGCATCTCTGTCATCCCTCCCAGCCCACCTACACTCGTTCCTCATCATCCCTTCATCCTACCGTCTCCCAGTTTTCCTGCTTGCTCTGCGGCGCCACCCTGCAGGATCTTGGTAAGAACGTTTTCTCCCTCAGCGGGTTGCTGTCCCGGCTGGGCTGCGCTGCCTATGCCTCCCGGCCTGGGGGCCGCTTTTGACCCTGCGGGGGGAAAAGGATACAACAGTTATCAGACTGCAGTGATCCAAATGTGTGAAATGGATGAAACGTGTCTGAGGTAGTTGGCAGCTCCAGCACTGAACGTATCCCATTCAATCCAATGCTATTGTAATATAATAGAACAATAATAATTTTATCTGACACAACAAATCAGTTGATCAATAGAAAGTGCACGTGAACGCCCTCTTTTAAGACCTGCCCCCTATTAAAATGTGCCAAAAGTCAGAAGCAAACGGCAGAGAAAACAGCAGCAGCAACTCCACGTTTGATTATTTAGGTCTCGCGAGAATGTGAGTTCAGCAACAGCTGAAAAGTTGAGTAGTGTGTGATCCCTAATCGTTTAGTGTGTGAACCCCAATATTTCAGTCGCCCAAAAAATCAAAAATACCAAGCAAAAAATACCTTCAGAAGCAAAAGAGCAATTCCAGAAGCAAAGACAATATTAGCAAAATCAGCAAATAGAAAGAAATGAAAGTAAAAACTGGCAAAATTAGTAATAAATTTATATCAGAACGACTGAAAATGACTAGAAATCTTTTGATTTAACTCTTATTGTATTTCTCATTTGTATTTACAACATATTTTGGACATTTTTATAATTAACATTTTGCTTGTGGATTTTATAATTTGATTTGAAACTTTTGCCACAAAATTAACTCCATAGAATTCAATGCTCTGTCCACAAATGCAGAGCAACTGTTTTCACTACGTTTTACAGAAATCTTTCAACTTAAAATGCTAGCCAATCGAAACTAGGACAGTTGGAAACGACAGGGAAGTTGCAAGGAAAGCAATGGATCTATCCTAACGTTATGACCTACCTTACCTACCACACATATTCAAAATAGACTGCATTTGGGATGAACCCCTTTTCACAGTAACCTGAACATGCAATTTCCTCCCTATTTTAGAGGAGGTCTGTATGTTAAACTATAGATTTTTCTACTCTCGTTGCTCACTAGCAGCTCAACGCAGTCACAATATTTCACACACTGAGAGCCAAAAGTGTCATAGTCAATCTGACAATGGGGTTACGGGGTAGATCATCACTAGCAGAATGGCTTTCTTTTGTGCCGCCTAAAAAGCCACCTGACGCGGTCAGCCATGCCCAACAAGCTGTAGACCAGCTGGGACTGAAGCGGGAATAACAACGTTTTCCAAATTCCGGCAGTGTCTGACAGTCAGGGAGAGTGACTGTACGGGACGCATATATCAAACAAATGACTTGAGAAGTCTGATGAAGCTAAAGTCGGCTTCTCATTGAAAATTACAGTTCCACCTTAAATGGTGCAGCAGATATATTCCGGTGCCTGTGCGCAACCCAGAGTGTTACTGCTGCTCCATTTAAGGTGGACTGGAAAATCTGAACGAAAAGCTGCAAAATAAAAAGACAACTGTAGAAATTCAGACATGAAAGAACATTTAGCACCGCGATGCTTGTGCTAGCAAGCAATACTGACAAAGGTTTATTAATATATTCTTCAGTTTATTTCTAAATTTAATACAATAATAATATTTCAGATTTACTTTAACTGTTCTTATTATAAAGCGAAGAAACATTACTGAACAATAAGCCACTGTTAACATACAACAATAGGTTCATTAAGCATTTAAAATGGTTTTATTTGTATATATACACAACGTCATGTATATCAAAACCATCTGAAATTTGAATTATACCATGATATAAAATTCTGGCCATAGCGCCCACTACTAGACCCAACGTTCTCAGAGAAACAGCCCCCACACTGAAACACCTGTGAGTGGTTGTTGGGAGGCCTCTAGAATGTCCTGCCCTATTTTTCACTGGTTTGTTTGGCTTGTCAGTTCTTTTTTCTGGGGTAGGTGGAATTGTTGCTGCAAGGGTGCATCTTTATCCTGACCACAGAGTACAGTCCTCAGGGGTAGCGAAATGCTAAACTACATTACATTGCATCAAAACAGAGCATTCTGCATCAGATACAACAGTCGACCTGAACAGCATCATTACCATCCATGAATTATTCAACGAGGTGTCAATGCCAACACGGAGAGGGCACGCTTCTCCATGATTCACCACCACCTAATCGAGGACTTTGAGAGGGCAATTACGTCCGTGTCCGAGTGTGTGTGCACGTGTACGAGTTTACGTGAGAAACGAGGAGTTGTGCGAGCCGAATGGCTCTCATTTCCATCTATACAAATAAACATCTTCAACATAACCTTTGATGAAGCTCTCTGAACTGGAGCCGTGAAAAGAGAGAGCCCACAGACGACGGTATAATTCGATTTTCTAAATGACTGTATGCTCCGTCTGGGTTCTCTCAAACTTAATAGAGTCTTACTTCATGACAGACATCGCCACACAAGAGACAACGGAAGGAATGTAAACAATACGTCGCTTAGCACCTTAATCAAAAACTCGCCAAGAAACATGAACATCATAATGAACTGCTGGATTTAGAATGTGGGGAAAAAGAACAGACATGGCAAATATGATTGGACACATTACCACATACTATGGCTACCAAATGGGTAGCAAATGGGGCAGTCAGCCCGACAGTACGTGACTGAAGTGTCCCTTGAGCAAGGCACCTAACCCCCAACTGCTCCCCGGGTGCCGTGGATAGGGCTGCTCCGGGCAAGTGTGCTCACTGCCACCTAGTGTGTGTGTTCACTAGTGTGTGTAGGTGTTTCACTTCACGGATGGGTTAAATGCGGAGGTCAAATTCTTCTGTGTGCAAGCACAGTTGGCCAGTGGTTCTGAACTGAACTGAACTGAAATGCACAGAAGAACACGCCACCACTGACCATAATGAAACAAAACACCAACAGTCTATTTTGGCTTTAATTAAGCATTTCATTAAATGTATAGGAATATTTGTTTTTTTTAGCAAATCAGCAACTCTCAATGTAGCAACATATATACATTTTAAAGGTAACAGACAGACATACACTCTCATTTCAGGTTTGCTTCAGACTTTTTGTCCAAATGGAGACACCTTGTAGCACAGATAGTAATTACCTGATACACAGAGTAGGTAGTGAAGTGATCTGCTAGTTTAGCTGCTTGGCTAAGTGCTGCTTTTTTGCCTCTCAAACGCACATTGGCTTATACAGATAATAGGATTTTGCGTGTCTTGGGGATTTTATGGAAAAGTCATTATCAAAAATATAATAATAATATATAATGTGTAAAAATAGGCTTTTGTACACTGTAAAAATTGGTTTGATGTTTTAACTTTAAAAAGTAAGTATCCTTACTTACGGTCGGCATAACATTTTTAGTACATTGAACTTGTAATGGAAAGTTATCACAACGATAATCTGTGTTTTATATTCTTTTAATTCATTTGATGCTCATTGAATTTTTAAGGCAATCAAGCTACATATTTTTTAAGATTTTTTTTGCCCTAATGTGATTTGATTTCTTTCAGAGCTGTGTGGAAAGGCAAATCTGATCTTTTCAAACCAGATCTGAACCACTTTCATTTGTGGTCCTAGATCGGACATACATATCCAATTCATGGCCATGTGACCTTAATGTGAAGAAAATGTGAAGCTTTTCCTAGGCATAAATAAAGGCTTGTCTTGGACTTAACTAAAATGCCCAAAATTCATTTTAGTCTAGGCTTAGCTTTTTGGAATCCAGCCTCAAAACGTATGACTCTGACTTACTGAATAGTACAGAAGCAGAGAAGCAGAACCCTGCTGCTGCTTTTGTTGCTACAATAGATTTCATTCACTTTCATCCAACTCACTGAACTACAGGAATATTACAGTTCTTTCCAATTTTGTATCTACTGATTGGGTAGTTGCTGAATTCTGCAAAGGTTGAATGCATACAGGAGACAGAGATCAGGTTAAAAACCCTGCATTATTCCTTTAATTTCAGGATAGCTATAAAACGTAATGAAATTGATCCTGCAACAAAATCAGTCAGCTCCACTCACCGATGCCTGTGGCTGGAATCGTAGGGCCTTTGGCAGGCTGGGCTGCAGCTTTTGATCCGATAGCAACTGCAGGAGTTGGCGCAGCAGTGGCAGGAGGAGTATCCATCTTCACCTGTCCCCAAAAAAGGGAAGATGATGAGGGAAACAAGTACAACATTACCGACCTTAGATTCTCAACATAGGCTGCATTTTTATTTGATTTTAGCCCCCAGCACAGTAGAAACAAATAGCAGCTGTAGGACATGGATTAGCTGGCTCAACTTTGACAAGAGCAGAAATATAACTATGGTTGTTCACTCCAACCCTAAACTTAACCTCAAACCAGAACATAGTCCTTATCCTAACCTTATATTTGTTTCTAATTTAACAGATTAGATAGATAATGGCCAAAACACTTTTTAACAGGAAAAAAAATGGACACTGATCTGCGGCCAGGTCCCTCTGATAATATTTCTCTTGTCATATTTATAATTGTTAAGATTTCAATTGAAGAGTTGGTCACAGACCAGCATAAAAAGACTTTACTGACTAAAGCTGTAATGGAACTGTGATAATAAGCTTTATCTCGACTCACCCCAGTAGCAGCTGGCTGAGCTGCAGTTGGTCCTGCAGCCTGCTGTCTGCCTGGTGCTGAAGCCTGACCTGGCTTAGCTTGCTGCTGAGCAGCCCCAGCTCCAGCACCAGCAGTCGTGGCTGTGGACATGGGCTGAGTTGTGCCTGCTGTAATCGCTGGCTGCTGTCCGGGCTGTTGTTGTGACTGCTGCTGTTGGGTGCGAGGCTGTTGGCTGGCCTGCCCAGCTTCAGGCTGCTGGGATCCAGGTTGCCTGCCAGTTGTGGGTTGTGCTGTGGATCGCTGCTGCCCTTGCTGTGGTGGTTGCTGTTGACCTCCAGGACCCTGCTGTTGCTGCTGCTGTTGCCTGGATCCAGGAGATTCTTGCCGCCTGGATGAGCCTGACTGTCTTTGCCCCCGTTGGCCACTGGACGTGTGGTGGTGTCCAGATGCAGGGTCACGGGAGTAGTCGCCTGAATCCCGGTAGCCCGACTGTGAAGTTCGGGGATCTGAGGATCTTTTCTGGGAAGAGGAAGAAGTGCCACGTCCTTCTGAACGACTAGAAGGGTCCTTTGGATGTGATCGGGAAGAACGGGAGGATCTAGGATCTTCAGAAGAATGCCTAGATGAGGAGTGACGTCCTGAGCTGCTACCATGATGTCGGTGCTCTCGGGGAGAGGTGGAAGAGGATTGGTGCTGGTGGCCGTATTCATCTTGTGGCCACAGGTCTTCTTCAGGGGGCTCGTCATAATCGTGGTAGGTGTGCTTGACGTGGCTTCTCTTACCTGAAGAAGAGTGGGCTCCACTTCCATGGTGCCTGGATCTATCAGAACGAGCTTCTCGTGGCTTTTCAAACCAGTCTGTCTCCTCCTGACCCAAATGATAGGCTTTTTGGGGAACCAAGACAAAGGTAAAAAAGTCAATGCCATTGTGTGTGCCAAAATACGGAGAAAAGGGTAGAGTGCAAACTGAATCCATGCAGAAGGAGGAGAAAAATGCCAAAATTCCAATCATGCAAGATCTTGAACAGAAGAGGTACCAACTAAAAAGGAACTAAAATATGCCATATCCACCAAAAACATGCAGAAGTCAGTTTAAAAAAATCAGCACATGCATCACAAAAACGATAAATACATATTTTAACACACACTTAACATTGATAAACATGCACACAAGTAGGCATATATGGTTTTGTGCACTGAACATAACATGCTCATAAAAAAGCAAACACAATGCATCATCCATGCTGGTCTCCAGCCGTGACCCTGGCATGCAGTCTTTGGACTGACGGGATGCACTTTTAATAGGCAGTCGTGATTCAGCACCAGTTACCTTCACTGTCAGAAACAGCACACTGCATATCATCCACTAGGTACGGGTCATCTGGCTTGTAGACATGGCTCTTCGGCATGTCTCTTATGTGATGATCCTGCACATCTGGCAGGGAATGGCTGGAGCCATACTGATTTCTCACATCATGTGGGTCTGTACCCCGTCCCATTCCCACAGGCTTTCCTACTGGGCTGAGTGGACTCTCTTCCTCAGAGTTTTGAGCACGCATGGAGGGGCGTCCGCTACGGCCGTGAGTACCCCTCTGGGATCGTTCCATGGCGTCTCTCTCATAGGACTTACTTCTGTAACCTCCTGAGTCTCTGGAAGAGATCTTGTCCATGCCATAGCCTGTGGACCTCGACCTTCCAGAGCTGTACAGACGATCGTCCTCATCCAGACGATCTCTTGAGCCATAGTGCTTCTGTTGATCATAGACGTTCTTCTTCACTCCTGTTCTGGTCACCACGGTACAGCTTCCACCTGTTGATGTCGTCATTGTGTAGGAAGCCAGATCTGACTCTACATCCCGTGCCTCTTCTATAGGGGAGAATTTTGAAATCTTCTGTTCTATGCCTTGCTTCCTGTGTTTGCTACGCTTGGAAGACACAACAGCTGGTGCCAAGTTCTTGGATGAATGCTTCTGGCTACCCATTCCCGAACTGCTGCGGGATCCATGCTTATAGTCATCATAGTAATAGGAAGATCCACCACTTACAGTTGTACTAGGACGGCCATGGCTGTCTACTGCACCCTGCTGATGGTAACCCGCACTGTCTGTTGATCTTCCATATGGATCCTCAGATCTATCCCCATAGCCTGTCCCCCGTGGACCATTCTCACTCCCATACCCTGTTCTTGACATATCAGAAGATCCCATGTTCTCCTTTGTCAGTTCACTGATATCATCTATCATGACATAATTTCTGGGAATATTTTGTTCCAGGTTTGTGGCATAGAGGCCCTCTGTGCCATACCCAGATGTAGGACTTGGTATGCGATCTGTCAGTGTCTGGTCAGGGGTGCGATATGGACCATAAGCATTTGTCAAGGGTGAGGAATACGCACCACTGAATCCAGTCTCCTGAGCCGAGGTGGCTACTGACACAGCAGGATTACTGATTATCTCATAGTTGGTTGGCAGCTTCTGCTCAAGATCAGCTAACGATGTCTGTCGTGGCATCTGATGAACAGAAAGAATATCAGACTGGGGCTGGAAGGTCAGGTTTGGGCTTGGGTATGGTAAGGTCTGTCCAGGCAAAGGTCCTGCCGCAGGCTGGAAGCCCTGATGGCTGGTTTGCTGCAGGCCTATATCAGTTTGATATGATGACTGGGTGTAACCATGACTCTGAAAGGCCCCTTGAGTCTGGTAAGATGAGGGTTGGGGTGGGTGAGGCTGGAAAGTTCCAGGTTGGGGCTGTGATGGGGCTGGATACTGTGGTGGCTGAAATCCAATCTGCTGATATGCTGCAGTTGGGGGTTGCGTTGGTGTAGGCTGGCTCTGTGGATATGGATACGGAAGATATGAGGAAGTGGGCAAGTACTGAGAAGCTGCATTGAGGTCAGAAGTATATTGGTTGAGAGGGGCTGTGCTCGGTCGCGTCAAAATTGCATTCCCATCATAAGTCCCAGTTGCTACCGCAGCCAGCCTGAGGTTGTTCAGTTCACTGTCTGACATGTAGTCCCGTGCATCCCCCATGCTACGCAAGTAGGCCAGCTCTCTCCTCTCTCGCTCTTTCACCATTGTTTCCTTACGCTGGGTAATCCCCAGTTCCAGACAGCGTAGCTTAGCATCAATCTCCTTCTCCTCTTCCTCCAGTTCTGCCTGCTGCTTACGCAGCTTTGAGGACTCCTGTTCAACAGCTTTCAGGTCACTCAGAAGACCTGCTTTGGTGACACCTTGTGCTGGGACGGGGCAGTACTCTTTGGGACATGCCTGGGGAGCTGTACATGTGCGGCACTGCAGGGGTGACAATAGGGAGAGGTGTCTCATCTGGAGGGGGGCTGGGGAGGGTCCGTTTCACCTTCTTCATCATAGCGTTCTGCTGCTGCAGGGAAGACATCTGGACAGAGAGAGAATGAAAGAAAGATAAAGAGAGATCATTAAAATGGGACACCACACCAGCCTTAACCTGTTATCTCATTAGAGAGCTCCTATCACATAAAGAGACATGACATATCATTTTCTTGTTTTATGTAACACTTTTACATAGTTGAACAAAATATTTAAAAAGACACCAGATTTATTGGACATAAATGTATGTCGTAGATGTCTACACACCACCCCTCTGTCAGTGTCTTCACAGCAAAGCTTAAAAACATAGATGTCCAGTTTGCACTTCTACAGGACTTTACTTGGAACATGACCTCCTTCATAACACAGGGAAGTTTTTTTCTTAACACGACTTAGTGGGAGCAGTGGCTATTTCTACAGTTTAATTACTTCTGCTCCTCCGGACCTGAAAAGTGCATTGTCTTGCAAGTGACAAACAAAAAGGTAAAGCTAGTTAACCTTGTCAGCCTTTGTCCAGCTATTACTCCTACACAGTTAAACCTATGCTAGTTTTGAACCATTTCTTTGGAGGGTACTAACAGCAACCTAGGTAAGGAATCTGAAACATCAGGGACAGTAAAAGCCGAACACTTATCAAAACATGGTTTTGCTTAAACAGGCTAAAAGAGATATATCTTAATTGCACCTCTCTTAGAAGTGCTTAACTAACAAACTAGACAATAACTACTTATATATATTTAAACAAATACACATCCTTTTACACTACAAATAACATGCATACATTTATACTGAAGTGAAAATCAAATAAAGATTAATGTCTTAACCACCAAAGCACCCACTAAATAGAAATGCATACCCATCGTGGAGACACTGAGAATCCGTAAGACATATTTTAATGACAAAAAAAAAAGCCTACAAGCCTGGCTGAGAAAAAAAGGAAAGAATTCCTCGTTTAGCTTGTGAAACGCAATGAACCCGCTTTCTTGACAAGCTTCAGTGTTCCTCGGACGGCAATCACACTGAGAATGAAAGACTCAGACCTTTCTGACCAGCTGCTGACAAGTCAGAAGACAGCAGGGCTGAACCAGGATGCTTACACAGTGCGACTCCCGCTGGCATTTCTGAGGGTTTTACGGATATAGCATAGTGTGTGAGTGAGAAGGAGAGACAGACCAAAGACAGAATATATATCAAAGAAATAAAAGCAAAGGAAAAAATCTCAACAGAAATACAAATTATTGAGAGAGAACAAGCCGGAATAAAGCAAGATGTTTTGAAAAGATTGGGGTTCAAAGAAATATGAGATAAAAGCAATGGTGGATAAAATATCAACAAGGACACACAAAGTCAGATACGCAGCACTGTTCTTACAATGCACTACTGGTGTTTTGACAGTCTTTCCCCACAACCTAGCCCAAGGATAAGTGTGAAAATTTTAAGCAGCATATAAGCAACATTCTGCTAAATGCTATGCCATTTTTTTGGATAATCCACCATAACCATAATGAGACAAGATACAATAATACCTGTACACATATAACCTACACTTCAACCGCTAATGGACACCCTGCTTACTCTGCTCTCTCTTCTTTTGGACGAACTTTATGCAAATGAGCTGAGCTACAATTGTTCATATGTGGCGCAGTAACCAAAGGTGTCATGTCCATAGTCACACTAAAGACTCAATGACTCGACACACAATGAGTTAGTAGTGGGTACTATGGCCAAAAATGTATATCCCAGTTTAATTAAAATTTCTGATGGTTTGAGCACATCACGGTATACTGTATTTATTTTTTTTTCAAATAAAATTATTTTAGATACTTAAGTAAACTTGCAGATTAACAATGCTGTATTATTCTGTGATCACTTTAATAAGAAGCATATTTAACAACTATAAAATATTTTTATTGGGCAAAATAGTAAAAAGAGAAATTAACAATATATAAAGACTCATTCATTTTGCATGAGAGAGAGAGAATAGCCAGGGGGGTGTGCAAAAACATTAAGCCAACTTTGATCAATAGAACAATGTCTTTCAACAGAAAATATTTTTTATTTATTTTATTGAAGGAGGGGGTTCAGGTATAAGCAAGCTTCATGAGGTACTTTGAATCTAGCCTCAGTCTCAGATGCTCTGCCCAGATGTAGACTGAGCATCAGATATCTATTGAATGTTAAGCTGGCCACATCTATCAGGATTGTGCATTCTGATTGGTCACATGCACATCATTGTCAACGCATCATTTACAGTGTGTTTTAAAGTTATTTAAGTCTTCTTTGAAGCATAATATAGCTATTAAGTAAGCTATCCTTGAGTGTTTACTGACCCACACCGATGTGTTCCCTGGGGGGTTTGTTTTTCTAGTAACCACACTTTGAAAAATCACCTTTTCTGCATGTCAATCAAATACTCCTTTCTTGTCAGAGTAGGTGGTTTTTGGCTATGTTAAGCAACAAAAGGCACCAGACTCTCTGATGAATACGACTGGCTTGCAAGACCACTTTGCATCTAATGGGAGGGGAAGAGGGTGAACGGTAGAAGAATGAGTAAGAGTTTATAGGAGAGAGAGGTAACAATTTGTAAGAATCCTGGTTTCACAGCTGCTGCTCTGCAAAAATTATTTTATCTCTACTGATGTCAAACCCTACACGATGTTTCATGATTCTCACTTCACATATTTTTTCTCATGCCAACACAAGTCAAAATATTTCATGTAGCCAGCAAAAGGACAACACCTAAAACCTTACTGTCTTCAAATAATATTTTTTCTCACCTGACTGCTTGAGGTGGTTTGGTTCTGGTACAAGGAGAACCTGGTCTTCGATGGATCATCTGAAGTTGGACTAAGGGGCTTGGGATCTGACATGGAGCGCTGAACACTCTTTATGGGCCTTGGAATTGTCTGATGCCTCTGGGGTGACTCATTTGTGAAGGCTTTTTGCTGGGGTGTAACATGGGCCTTGTTGAGCCTCTCACTGGAAGCGAAGGTAGTCTCCAGCATGCGGTGGGGGGACAGGGGAGACACTGGGGAGTACAGCACCTGTGGGGATTTGGGTGGTCCACGGGTGTCGCTCTGTTGTTGGGCTTGCAGACCAATGTCAAGTGGGTCTGGCTTCCTCCTTTCAAACTTGGCTGGTGTGGCGCCAACTAGTTGTAAACTAGTCGAGTAGGGACTGACTGTGGTGGGAACACTGAGCTGAGGAGCAACCACACCCTGCGACTGGGCTTCTGGGTCAGTCTGGCAGGCCAAACTCTCGCCCTTTTGTGTCCTCTCTGGGGCAGAGATGTAGTGAAGCAATTCAACCTTGGATGTCTCAGCCATAGTGATGTGAATGGCTGGAGAGACTCTTCCCAGCTGATCTGTTTCAGTTTGACATGAGGAATCACTAGTGGTCTGGATGGCTATGCTGGACGTCACTTTTGAAGCATCTGTCTTCGTTTCTGCACTTGATTCAGAGTGCTTAGAGTACCTTGAGCGCCGGCGTCGTACTGGCTGGCTGTCCCACTCTGCCTGGTCTTCCTCATCTGTCTGGACACTGCAATCAGCAATACGTCTGGTTCTTCTGCGGCGTGACATGAACCGATCCTCTCCATCTTCATCATCCGTTTGGACACTGCTGTCCGCAATCCTTTTCACAGGCTCCTCTTCAGATCCATCCCGTAAGCGGGGCATTGAGTTCTGTTTCTTCATAGCACGGCCACTTTGATCGTCACTGTTCCTCAGGGACATTTCAGAAGCAGAGCTAGGAATAGACCTTGTTGACACCAGTGCTTGCACCATTTGCCCATCCACACAAGGCAAGAACTGCACACTCTGGCCATCTTGTGGAATAACTCTACCATTTTGATCACAGATGATGGAGATGGCTTGAGGGGCACCACCGACCATTATGCCTTGAATGGCACCTTGAGCTGTTGTGGCTGCCGCAGCAGCAGCTGCTGAAGCAGCAGCTGCCTCTGCTGCTGCCGCTGCTGCAGCTGCTTCAGCGGCAGCTGTCTTCTGCCTCTTCTGCTCTTCAAGCTGCTGCTGGAGTTGCTGTTGCAGGGACTGAATTTGGTCCAGCTGCATTCTTTGCTGGGCCAGCTGCTCTCTCTGCATTACAAGTTGTGTTTCACGCTCAGCCTGCTGCTGCTGGAGAACCTGCTGCTTGATGCTCTGCAGTTCTTGGATTTCACGCTGGACAAGCAGCTGTTCTTTCTCCCTGTGCCTCTGTAACTCTAAGCGGTCCCTCTCCAGCTCTTCATGCAGACGCAATTGACGAAGCTTCTCCAGCTCAATGCGTTCTCTCTCCAGCTGCAGGAGTTGTTCCTGTTGTTGTCGTAAACGCTCATCTTCTTTTTCCTTTTCTTTGTCTGTAGATGAGGTCATGATGGTGTTTACTGCTGTATCTGGCAACACACTACCAACTGGATGTGGCTGTGATTGTGGCACTGATAAGTGGGGCTGCGTCTGAGAAAGTGATAGGGCTTGAGTGAGGGACAAATCTTGACCTTTAGTGAATCCTTGAGGCTGAGTTTGGGGTGCTTGCTGCTGCACTGGAATCTGAGTCTGAGTGGCAGGAAGGACTGAGGTACCATCTACTGAAATATGACTCTGAGAAGTCTGTTGGTTTAAAATAGTTGGTTGAGCTGGCACACTAGTTGAAGCAACAGCTCTAGGTACAACCTGCAAATTTGTAATGGGTTGAGCAGGCGGTAATGTTGTAGTTGTTGGCACTGTGCCAGGTACTGTGGGCTTGCCAAGGTAGACAGGAGTTTCTTGAGAAGTACTTGTGGGTGGCATGCTTCCTGGCATAGCATCTGGGGCAGATGTTGGAAAACGGTTGGGAGGAAGATATCTATAAGGTCCCTGTGCAGAGAGAGGCATCCTTGGGGTCACATGAGGCAATCTACTAAGGCTAGCCAGCGGAACAGCCGTCACATTGCCTGGAGGATAAGGTTTGTAGACTCCTCTTAGCATGGGATTTAGTACAGGAGCAGGCTGGGTTGTTATTGGCAAAGTGGAGGCTATGGGAGTGTTGATGGTAGAGTATATCATGCCATCTGCAGTTCTCATTGGAGGAGGATATAAGGCTCGCAGGCTAGCCTGTCTAGCATTGATGAGATTTGTAAGTGCTTGACCATGTACAGTGGGCCTTCCATCTGGGCCATAGAGCAGATTGGCTCTGATAGAGGCCAGGCCTTGCTGCAGGCCTAGTCTTCCTGGAGGGCCTCCTCTTCCAGCACCATACTGCAGAAGTTCAGGGCTGTTGGCATAACGATTTCCAAACTGATCCATAGAGTTTAGAGCAGCACACATTCTGCTAATCTCTCTCGCAGTGGTGGCACTGTACTGTGCAAGATTTGATTCCTGAACACCAGCCATTTCACGAGAAGAATAGCCATAGTCTCCACTGATATTGGACATGGAACCGTACCTACGCAGAGGTAAAGGTGGAGCTGAAATTTCTCCTTGATGGCGCAAATCTGTGTAGGATCCATATTGGGCACCCATACCCAGATATCCTGCCTCATATGCTTGTTTCATGGAGCTCAAATCCACTGCTAGATCCCCAGGATCTGTCCTTTGATAGTACTGAAGTCCTGATTCTGCCAGATTTGTGTCCGACATCGATGGCGGGAGCCGCCCAGGAGGAGGCATGGTAAAAGCTTTATGCTCCTCTGAGGTCCCTTGCATATTAGCTGGCTGGTAACCATCCTTTCCTGGTTGAGCCTGTTGACGAGAGGCTTGGGTGGGTTCAGTGGTAGGATTCAGCTCTGAAGTAGCTGTTTTACCTCTCTGACTAAAAGGACCTGAACAGCTACCAGCAAAAGGCAACTTGACAACATCACAGCAGGCTACTTGGTTCTCTGACTTGATCTGTCCAGTGAGATCCAGGACTTCTGGGGCTGGTGGTGGAGGTTGCTCTTCTTTTTTTACTATTTGGGTCACCGTAGCCCCCTGGGATGAACTACTCTCATCTAACTGCACCATCATCACATGGGGCTTCCCTGTAGATAGGTTCACTACAGTAGGCTTATTCTTTAGTTCCAGAGCTACCCCACCATATATGTCATGGCCAAGAGTAGGCGTGGGAGATACAGGACCTGTTGAGGGCTGTGGGGGAAGAGGAGAAACCTTTGGAATGGCACTAACCACTGTTTGAGTGCTTCCACCACTGGTCTGGCTTACTACTAAGTCTTTCTTTAACAGTATTGGTTGGACTTGATTTGCTAAGTTGTAACGAGCAAAAGAAGCTACATTTTGTTGGTGTTGTTGGAGCTGTTGTTCAAGGAGTTGTTGTTGCTCTTGAAGCTTCTGTTGTTGCTTTTGAAGCTGTTGCTGTTGGATACCCAAATCTTCCAGACACGCATCTATCTTTGGAATAGATGGGTCTGTTACAGGTGGTCTGGATTGAGTAAGGCAAACGGCTGACCCTACTCCTTGACCAAGGTCAACTCGATTTTGCAGTGGGTCTCCATAAACCACTGGGTGCTTAGGCTGTGATATGAACATAGATGCTGCAACAGTAACACTTACTGTTGTTGGTGTTGATGTTGTCACATGAGGTTGCGCCTGTGCATTTAGGTTCATGATCAAAGGTTGTACTGCTGTGTGACGACTTGGTGGTTGGTCTGCTTCAAGTGAGTACCTTCGTGTGTCAGATGCCAAAGACGTCAGATCCATACCCTGGTCTGTCATAATGATTGGAGTAGGCTTCATTGGTGCTCTAAGATCAACTACATTACCACTTTGGGTCATTGTCCCTTGCTCAATAACCCTAGAGGTGCCTGGAACAGTAGAGATTTTACACAAAGATATGCTTTCAACAGGGGGTGATTTATGGCTTTGGGAGCTTGCAGTGGCAGTGCTTCCACCAACAGTGGCTCTCTCAGCAGTCTGTGCTCTCTGAAGACTTTGTTGTGACTTCTGTGGGGAAGTATTTGAGCTTGTTGGAGTCTGGGCCTGGTAAATTGGCTGTTGCCGATTACTTGTTGGGGAAGACAGAGGGGATGTGGAAGAATTTACAGTTACTGGTTTGGTGGGTTGACTAGTGGTGCCTGCTAGTGTTATAACCATGACAGGGGAATCTTGAGAAGACTGCTGTCTTGCAAGTCGTGGCACTGCAGTACGTTGAGAAATGTGGGATCCTTGAGCGGTAGGTAAAGATGTGGGACCAGGAGCACGGATATGAGTGGGACTTTGTGTGGGAGAGGTAGACGGGGACGTTGGAGGACTGGGACTCTTGAAATATGAGAACACCTTAGATGTTAGTGAAGTTGAACCAGAGTCAGGTGGCTGTCCCTGGGAAGGTCTTCCTTGTGACTGTCCAGTGGCAGGCTGTCGCACTTGTGGCTGAGACTGAACACCTGGATGTGCAGGACCCATCTTGGAAGTTTGTGTAGTCATCCTGGCCTGGTTTTGTCCCCTTCCACTAGTGCCTCTTTCCGAAAATGAGACAGGGGCTGCAACCTGTGTGGGACTTGTGCCTGGACTCAGAGATGCTGACCCTGTACCTAAGTGCTGATTATTTGCTAAATGTGGGGGCCCTTGCTGTCCTTGTCTCCCTGGATGTTGCTGCTGCTTTTGCATCAACTCTGCCTTCCTCATCATTTCCTCATAAACTTCCTCAGCACTTTTTAGTGATTTATCTACAGTAGATGAAGCAGCAGAGGTTTTTTCTGTAGGCGAGTACAGAGACATGAAAGTTGGCAGATTGTATTCACTGCCAGACTTGTACAGTTTTGAGCTCATTTCAAACCCTTCTGCCTCTGAGTCCATAGAGGGGGAGTATTCTGAGCAGGAAGATCTGTGAAGTTCTTCCATTTCAGCTGCTTGTCGTAGCTCTTCTGTTGGTGAAGCATCCTCAATAGGTGACAGGTTGCTGGGGGGAGTCTTTGACCTCTCTCTGCGCCTCTGTGCTCTCAGTTCCTCCTTGTCCCTTTTTGTTTTCCTGGCTGTGCTACGTATCCTCTGCTGTTCCAAGTCTCTCATCTTCTCTTGTTCTCTTAGGAGTTCTTCCTCTTCTCTCAGTTCATCTTCTTCAGAGGAGTCCTCAATTGTTGGTAAGAGTGGGCCATGGGATCGATGTCTCGCTTTCCTTTGCTGCTTAGCCTCTTCAAGCCTTTGCCTTCTGCTAGGACTACTATCACTATCATCCTCCAGTGATGATACAGATGTGGGAGAGGTGCCAGATGTATAGCTTGGTGTGGTAGCAGGAAGAGTTGAAGAGTACTCCCCTCTAGACCTCTCTTCAGGTGATCCAGTCAGGCTTTCCATCTCAAGTTCTGGCTCTCTGAGGTCATGCTCTGTGCTAAGTTCCATGTCACGACTATAGCTATTAGTATTATTCAGTTCTATAGTCTTGAATCGTCTTAGGCCTCCTTGTGAACCCATCATTTCATCCCCATCACTGGACTTGTATGCACCATCACTGCCTTTAGTGTCCTCCTCAAAACTGCTAGATTGCTGTGTAAGGCGTCGTCTCTCTTTTCCTAGATCTCCACTGTGTTTATGGCTCTTTTTCATCCTAACATGTCCTTCGGCTTCTACCATATCCTCCTCATCTGCACTCATCTCTAAGATCTGCCTCCTCATGAACTCCTCATCTGTTAGCTCCTTCTGCATCTTCTTCTGTCTGGTTGGCAGGGGAGAAAGGCCACTTTCACTGCTGTCCTCCACATAGTCATGACGTAACTTGCAGCTAAGGTCATCCGAGATTTCTCCGTCAGAATCAAACTGGTCTTGTGATATGGACAGTGTCTGAGGTCTTTGCTGATCACCAGTGTCTGCTGCACCATGAGAATCTCTAACCCGACCTTGATCAGAGGCCGTCTGTGACTCCAACAAGGGACGCATGGAACTCTCTAGCTTTGTGATTTCAGAGGGGCTAGGTGGGCTGCGCTGATCAGAGATGCCTCTCTCGCTGAGTTTAACTCCCTCTTCATGGATAAGTCCAGTGATCTCACTGTGGGAGCTGGATATGCCATCAGATGAATAGCCTGTATCGCTCAGACTCTGTGTACTAGACTTGTTGGAATCCTATGAAAAGACAGAATAAATATATTTTGGTATTCATCCATTTTCATACAGTAGAGATAAAAGAATATTTTATGACATTCCTAAAAAAAGGCAGAGTCACACTGATACGTTTTAGATATTATAAACACAACATGCAAACTGCAAGCAACAATATTAGAGCATGCAAGACCTGTGAAGGACCAAAGGTACCAAATACAACATAAAAGTTAATGAACACTGTGCATAGATAATGACTGCAACAATGACCGTGACTGCCACAGATATTACTAGCATATCAACCCTATGACATTTTGATAGGGTTGAAACTTTATGACAAGAAACATGAAAGTATGACTAAGGATTAATTTTGAACAGTAGTGACTGTCGCAGGAAAGTGAATGAAGGAGGTGATCAAGTGATAATGATGACAAAACTGCAGTGAGTAATAATAATGATGGGGGATATAAATAATGAATACAGTGAGAATGAATTAAACCAGTCTTCAAAACAGATGACATTAGCATAATTGTAGGAACTTCAACACGCCAATCATAGCGTGTCGAATTCGTGACTGGGCTGATTATGGAAGATGAGCACAAAGACAATGAGGACACAGAGGGTCACTCACGTCGTGGTGTTTAGATTTCTGCATGTCACTACTTTTCTTCTGGTCTTTTACATCCTGTGTTCCTTTTTTAGGGGATGCTTTTACATCCCCCTCTTTCTCAGTTTTGGACATCGCTTGTTTCTTGCTAACACTTTGCTCTTGTTTTCGAATTTCAGTCTTGCTTGCAGGATGGGTAGGGGCTGTCTTGGCAGGAGATGGTTGAGTGGAACCTTTGCCCTGTGGTGGCCCCTGTTTGGTAGGAGGGAGAGGACCACTTACTTGGGCACCAGGTGCTTTTTGCTGCTGAGGGCCTGTAGGCCTCACCCCCACTTGTTGACTGGGTCCTCTCTGCTGTGGTGGCTGTTGACTGGCTGGACCCATTGCCCGGGGAGATCCCACTGGCTGAGGAGCTGGAGATGGACCACCCCCCAAGTCCCCTGACATGGCTCTCTTTGTCTGGCATGTCAGGCAGAGCCATTCTTTCTTCTAGAAAAACAAGCAAAAAAAGAACCATGAATCAAAAAACAATCATAGCAGAATAAAATCAATCTCCAGTTCAAGGCATAAAAATTAATCAAAGTTCCTGTATACTGTCTTTTTTGGTCTCCTTCTTCTGTAATATGAAAGAAGTGCGGTCAGGCAGAGCTGTCAGCTGAACTCAGCATAATTGGGTTTGTTCCAGATAATGCTTTGCTGCCTCTTTTCAAAGGCTAGATGTTTAACACAGACAATGCTCAGGTCAATCCATGTAAGTACACAGTACATTAACATACTGACTGAATCGATTACTAGTGTTTCAAAATCTCAAACAGTTATGAAAAATATATTAAAAGTTAAAGGTGATACATTTGATGAGATACTTATTCAAGTAAACATTCTTTTTATTAAATTACCTTGTAAGCATTTGATATCATTCATCCAGAACAATCAGACTTTGGCAAAAGGTAAAACACCAGAGAAATCAAAGCGGCCCACTCAGATACAGATCAGTCCCCTGACATCAAATATCATGGAAACAAAGGTGTAAATTACAAAGAAAGGCACAAAAGTATGCAATTACAGCTGGATCAATTGGAAGCATAAAAGAGAAATACGTCCTTTTGTGCTTTTCGCAGCAAATAAAAGGCCACGAGTTCAGTCAACAGTTTCGGCTGCTATTTCCGTGATAAGGATCAGCAGAATACAACCTCAGATGATAAACCCACACACAAGCACACAGATGTTGTTTCTCGGCTCAAGAAAACCTAATAAGTTTTTTCCCTTTTTCATGACGGTTATCAGTTTACAGATCAAATTGTTTCTACTGCCAGTATGGCCTGTTAGAGAGCAGAAGAGCCACAAAGATAAGGCAGTAGCAAGAAATAAGCGTCTGTTAATGTAATAAATTAAGCTTCACATTTACCAGTAATGAAAGCCAGAAATCAGAAAACAACCTGTAACAAGTTTAAAGGCCTCTTTCAAGCATGATGTGTACAACTGATATCTAGGACACCAAATGCAAAGGAGAAAACGCTACAGTGTATTATTTGCAGTGGCATCTCTGGCACAGAAAGCCTGGTGGGGCAGGAAAAACTGTAGGGGCAGCAGTGACTCCTCAATGAAACACAAACGCTCACCGTCAATCACAACTCACAAATTAACGTAACGTGGTGCAGAAGTTGGTGGAAGTGGAAACAGAATTACAATTACAAATACAAAGTTATCAAGCAGTATACAATCATTGTGGTCTGCAACTACATATCCAATAACATTTCAGAGCAGGGAAACACACTTTCTGGGCTTGGTAGAGTGATTTTAGCTAAACTCACAGTTAGCCATGTTTTTCTCTTGAACCTCTCTGGACTGAAGGAGTAGTTTTTGTCCTTTCCAGACTGAATGATGTTGAAATCCTCTGGCTGGTGTGTCCCAAACATTTAATCTCTAATTTCCGCTCTAATGGCTGGTATCAAATTTAACTTGTATTACATTTTTGACTCAACTCTTTATATTGCCTTGTTTTTAGGAGTAGCTACCACACCGTAAACAATGTTTACTAAACGTCTGGACATATATAAATGTATTATTTTTTATTTTGATCGGGCCCCACAGCCCGAAAGCGTGTTGAACATGCGCAGCATGTTTTTAACTGCTTATTTGGTTAGGTGAACGCTGACGGGCCCCACACTCATCAAACCAACACTGCTAGGCAAATATGTACCTACTGGCATTTACACAACAGGTACAGGAAGATATTTGGAATGTATCAGACAGCCCTACCATAGTCATATGTAATAAATGTGAAACAATGTTAGTTGCAAAGAAATAAAATATATATGTATATATGCTGCTCCACAGCGACATCTGGTGGAGCCCTAATGTAGAGACACCACTGATTATTTGCCCTATTTACCAAAAAATTAAGAGTCCTAGCCTCTTTGGAGAAAGAAAGGTTAACGACATCTTAGGTTAAATTAATTTTATTCATAGTTTGCAGATTATCAGATTATCGCAGAATCTTCCAATAGTCCAACAGACACCATGAATGCCCATTATTAGCAAAATGTTGCCGAGCTGATAAACCAAATTAACTGGAGGAGAACATTCCATAGACCTTCTACAGGCTGAATTATACTTCTGTGAAGACACATGCAAACGTTTCAGCACGCATAACTCACAGATGCTACAGAGAAGACTTTTTACATCTTTGACATTTACTTATTCAGAAATGTAAGAATCTCTAACACAGATCAGCGTAGCTGTTAAGACTGAGAGCTGAGGGAGAGAGAGGTGCACAGTGAAGGGGCTACAACAGCACTTTATCTATTCAAATGCCTTTAGTGTGAAACTCAACTAGACATTTTAACGTCCAGTAAGCAGTACCAACTGCTCACTGGACAGTGAAGCTCAAAACCGGACTCTCTGAACCAGAAACGAACACTGGCAACCCTAGTTAGACATGCGTAAGTGTCACGCTGACACAGAAGTGCACATTTTTCTTGGTTTAACAAGGTAAATAAATCTGGTAAACCAAATAAACTAGTTAGCTAGCTGGGCTACAGCATTAATGTTTTTAAATCCAGAAGAGCTACAGCTCAGTAAAGTGCCTCACATTATCAGGCGGTCTGCTGAGTTTACCTCATCTTTAAACATCCTTGACCATTTTGAACATTAGAAAAGTGGAGCTCAATCTTCTACAGTGAAACAGCATGGAAGATGCTAACTATAAATGGACTGCGTTTCCCATGAGTCTGTGTGCACAGGAATGTGAAGATGTGATGGGAAATGTAGACTTAAACCAAAAATCCTCTCTTTTTAAGTCATAGTTGTACAAAAACTATGTGATCTGAAATATATACAGACCACTCTACCAAATAAATTGCGGTCCCACAGTAATTTTTATTTTTTTTGATTTTTTTGATTTCTTTAAAAAGTGAAGTTAAAATATTTGGATTTATCAAAAGTTTAATTTTCAAACGTAAAACCTTATTCAAAAGATGCTGCCCCATTTTTTCATGTCATTACCGAAACACAAGAGTTTTAGTCCGTAGGTGGAGCCTTATTTAGACACGCCCCTGCATTTTAGATCAGGAAGTGAGGCTGCATCCCTGTCCCTCATGGCCACATGGTGAGCAGTTAAATCCCATTGTTTTGAAGTAAATAAGTCCCAAAGTCCGAAAATTAAGAACTGTCACTACTGAAACATATTTTCTGAGATATAAATAAACTTCCTTGTGTTTTGATAAAAATATTATGATTTTATGTGTTCAACTGTTCAAAGCTGTGTTGGCTGGTCATGTGCTGACTAGCATTTTCGAGTTCTGCTCAAAATGAGCTAAAATTGTCACTTCTGAAACAGTCACTACTCAAACATCTGCTAAAGTTTCGGTAATGTTATGATTGTTTTAGTAATGATAAAATGGAATATTTAATCATTTATTTTAATAAAACAAACATAATTAGTCACTCAAAGCAAAATGCTTTTAGTCTAAAGTCAAAGTCAGTTAAAAGTCCCAAATGTGTTGTCACCTCTAAACAATTAACATATGGGAACAAGATCCTAATGTGTGGCCATGAGTTAGTAAGGCATGGGAATGAGATAATTAAGTTGGGGCCACAACTTAGTAAGGCATTGGAACGAGATCCTAATGCATGGCCACGAGTTAGTAAAGCGTGGCAACGAGATCCTAATGCGTGGGAATGAGACAATTAAGTTCTGGCCACGACTTAGGGTGTGGGAACAAGATCATGCCTTATTTAGCTGTGGCCAAGGCTTAATCATCTAAATCCCACGCCTTACCAAGTAGTAGCCACACATTAGGATCTCGTCCCCACGCCTTATTAAGTCGTGGCCCTGAGTTATCTCATTCCCACGCCTTACTAAGTTGTGGCCTTGACTTAATTATCTCCTTCCCATGCATTAGGATCTCGTTCTCACGCCTTACTAACCCGTGGCCACATATTAGGATCTTGTTCCCATGCTTTACTAAGTTGTGGCCACACATTAGGATCTTGTTCCCATGCCTTACTAAGTCATGGCCACACATTAGGATCTTGTTCCCACGTGTTAATATGGTGTGGCCACGCATTAGGATCTCGTTCCCATGCCTTACTAAGTCGTGGCCACGCATTAGGATCTCGTTCCCATGCCTTACTAAGGCGTGGCCACACATTATTTTTATTTATACCAGATGTCGCCAGCAAGGCTCTGTAAGCAAGAGCCACCAAACACTTTTAAAAAGCACTGAATGTGTTAAGAGCAAATTACCTGGAGGAGACAATTCATCCTCCTCCAAGCATTAAGAGACGCCAGTGTGCTTCAGCGTTCTCCTATTCCTCTAAAAAAGCTCTCCCTGCATTAAAAGCACAGCTCAGCCCAAAAGCATTAGCATGCTAACAATGAATGAAAGCTAGCCAGCACTTTCAAAGCCAACCTCACCATGCAAACCGCTGAGTTTTGTACGCAGTTAGCGTCCTTTCATTGTTAGTTTAGCCACGTTAGTGCTTCTGGCCCTCCTGGACCAAACCCAGACTGTCCCTCCACTGGCACGAATTTGCAATGCCACAGAGAGACAATCTGGTTGACTTGTTTGTGTTTACTTGCTTGCTTATGGGTACTGGAGAGTGTGCGCTGGGCCAGTGAGGCTGATTAGCGAGCGTAATGGTCCTCAGGGTTCTGCTCTGATTGTGTAACACAGACAGACACAAATGCACAGACAGCAGAAGAGGGAAGCGGCAATTTTCTTCAAACACAGTAAGAAAGCATGCATATCTATGAGAACAAAAGCAACGAACTGAGTGCAATGTTCGCCACGCAATAATGACAAAAAGTAGTCGTCAAAGCTCAGTTTTGTTCTTGAAAAGATGAACAGGACCGACTGTGTAAATCACAGCAGAATGAAAAGAGCCTGAATAAACATCAAAATCAGAAAACATTTCATTTGCCAATACAAGATGTGCTCTTAAAACGCACCAAATGTTCCTGCTTGTTATGAAATAAAAGCATTTTA